GAGGATGACGTGCACAAGTGCGGGCGCTGCCAGTCGGAGTTCAGCTCGCTGCAGGAGTTCGTGCAGCACAAGCTGCAGAAGGGCTGCCAGCGCCCTCCCGACGCGCTCGCCGGCCTCCTCGGCCAGGAGGGACAAAAGGTGACAGCGGCTGCTCCGAGCCGGGGCTGCAAATAATTAGGATCCAACGGTCTGTTGGGTTGGAAGGGAGGGAGAAGTGTGTTGAGACAAGCAGAACCGGCCTGCTGAAACGTGCTGTGTGCCAGCAGGTGGTTCCTGCTGTCGAGGAGTCCATAACTGTTGCTCACATCGTTGTTGAAGCATCTTCCATAGCAGAGGAGATCAGCAACGCCTCGGCCATCGTAGGTGAGCTCTGGGGTGCCTTGGCACCTGCTCCCTCGTCTGTGTCCTGTTGGGGTGGCTTTGGGTTGTGCTTGGGTGGGTGACACCTCTGTGTCGCTGGGATTTGGGGCAGGCTGTTCCTGCACAGCTCTGGGGGGCAGCCCTGGGCCAGCTCTGCAATCCTTCCCCCATCAGGGTCATGGGATGGTTGGGTTGGGAGGGACCTTAAAGCCCACCCAGTGCTACCCTCTGCCATGGCAGGGACATCTCCCACTGTCCCAGGTGCTCCCAGCCGTGTCCAGCCTGGCCTGGGACACTGCCAGGGATCCAGGGGCAGCCCCAGCTGCTCTGGGCACCTGTGCCAGGGCCTGCCCACCCTCACAGGGAACAATTCCTATTCAATATCTTCTAAATCTACCCTCCTTCAATTTAATTAATACAAATTAGATGTTAAACTCTACTCCAGAAGTGCCCATTTTATGCTGCCATAATGAGAAGGTTGCACATAGTTGAGTTGCAGGTTTAAAGTAACTTTTCTCCTTATTTCTGTGTGAAATGCTGGAAGAGTAGATGATTTGTGGCTAAAGTTCTGTCCTGTAAAAAACCCAACTGTCTCCCCACCTTTTCCCAGGCAGTGGGCACATCAAAGAGGTCATTGTAGCAGGAGACCATGTGTTTGAGAACCCGAATGGCCACGTGGATGGGGAGGTCAGTGAGGAGCAGGGCAGCCCCGAGGAGCAGGAGCAGGACATTTCCACTGAGCTGATCAAGGTCAAGCTGCAGGTGAACAAGGAAGGGCGATACGTGTGTGAGCTGTGCCAGAAGACATTTAAAACTGTGAGTATCCCCTCTGCTGGTGTGGCTTTGGGAGCCTTTTAGGCTGGCTGTAAACTAAGAGACCCCAAGACTCAGTAACAGTGTGCTTTGCTGCCTGCCACACTTCCCAGAGGGAAGTTCTGCTTTCACAAGGAGCCTTGTTATCCTTTGCAGCTAAAATGTAAACTCTTTAAACTACTTGGAACGTCTCTTAAAGGAAATTCTTTCCCTAGGCTAGCATCCTCAAAGCTCACATGATCACTCACAGCAGCAGGAAGGACTATGAGTGTAAACTCTGTGGGACTTCCTTTAGGACAAAGGGGTCTCTGATCCGACACCATCGGCGGCACACGGGTAAGAGCTCTCCAGGATAAGAGTTCCTTGTTACTGCAGCTGTCTGTGGGTATCCATTTGCCTCCCAGTGGAATTCCTTGCTGCTTCCCTTGTTTTCCTGAGCTGAGTCCATTGTGCTCCCCAGCCTTTGGGGTGCTGGAAGTGGAAGGTTCTGGGATAGGCACAGTCGTGTGCTGTAGAAAGCTGAACGTGTTCTTCAGCCTGTCACACACAGCTGATCCTGGCAGTGCTGGATTTAATATGGTTGTTTTGATTCTTGTCATTTCCAGATGAAAGACCTTACAAATGCAAGAAATGTGGGAAAAGCTTCCGGGAATCAGGAGCTTTGACTCGGCACCTTAAATCTCTGACACCTTGCACTGAAAAAATCCGCTTTAACGTGACCAAAGAAATAGTTGTCAACAAAGATGATCTGCCATCAGGTCAGTGATGGTGCCAGGACCTGCCTCCTGTCTGATGAAGCCAAACCCTCACTTTAATAGAAATTCCTTCTGGGTCAGGCTGCCCAGAGCAGCTGTGGCTGCCCCTGGAAGTGTCCAGGGCCAGGTTGGACAGGGCTTGGAGCAGCCTGAGATGGTGGAAAGTGTCCTTGCCCATGGCAGGGTTGGAACTGATGTGCATTTCCAACCCAAGCCATCCCATGATTCTTATTCATGATAAAAAGTATTCCAGTGGTCTTGAGTTTATATTTTTTATACCAGAAAAAAAGTAATTTATGGAGTGAAGCTATTACCTTGAAGCCGGGTGTGAACTCAAGAAAGTCTGAGAATCTGGTACAAAGGTGCCTTAACAGGCACCCTGTGCTCTAAGGCAGATTTTTTTAGGGCACAGGGAGTTTCTGAGGGGTGCATTTCCCCACGTGGTCCATCCCTTGCAGGATCCTGCAGCTCCAACACAGACACGGTGTCCTCGATAGCGAGCGAATCCATCGAGGCCTCCCCTGTCATCCACCTCGTGACAGATGCAAAAGGCAACGTGCTCCATGAAGTCCATGTCCAGATGCAGGAACTTCCCGTGGTGGATGCTAAACCCCTGGAGCCAGATGTGAGTGTCTGAAACACCCTTCCAGTGTTTTAAACAACATTTCAGCTCGTGAGCAGAGGTGTCTTGGGTGCTGACAGTAAATCTGAGTGTGAAGGTTTCGCTGGTTTTTGTGTGGGTTTGTCATCCCTTGGGTTGTGAGAGTACAGATCCACCTCATCTTCCTCCTCAGCCCAAGGTGTTCCCTGGTTGATCTTTGAACCCCATGGCACAGCACTGGACACCCCAGAGAGAGTGACCCTCGCAGCAGTGTTGCTGTAAAACATTGTGGATTTGCTGTGCCAAACTTCCTCTCTGTTCCTCCAGCAGCCGCATCCTGAGGAGCTGCCCTGTGAGGGGGAAGTGAACAGTGAGAACCTGCTGAGGCAGGCCATGAGGAATTCGGGAATTGTCATTGAGAGAGTGGCCGTGGAGGAGGTGCAGAAGCCGGATGAACCTGTGGCAGCTGCTCCAGAAGAGCTGGAAAACAAAGGGGTGGAAGTAGAAGAGGAGCCATGTGGGGAGCAGTGTGCTAAACTGGAAGGAGAAGAGTCTGTATGTTTGTATTCCATCAACAGATTAATTTTTTAACCTTCCTTGTCTGTATTTGGTTGTGGGCAGCACTGTTGTCCTCATGTGTCTCTGCTGTACCTGTGGCTTTGTGTCAGGTTTTAGAGTTACATTGTGCAGATGTGATTTAAGGGAAATGTCACTTCACACATGGGCTGTCTCTTTTCACAACAGAGATCTCTTTCCTGTCAAAGCTGGAGTGTCTAATTGGGAATTTGGGTAGCAATCCTAGGTGGACACACCAGTACAAAAAAGAAAAAAGCTGTTTTCCCATTTTCTCTCCAGCAGACAGCTGCAGAAAGAACCAATGGGTACAAACGTTATGTTTGCTTTCACTGTAATGAAGCCTTCAATGAAGCTGCTGCCCTGGAAACTCACAGCAAGGGGCACACAGGTAACGTGGTGCTGGGGCTCAGTGACCTCAGCCATGCACTTCTGATGAGGAGAGACTCTGGGAGCTGGGCCTGCTCAGTCTGGAGAAGGGAAGGCTGAGAGGGGATCCCATCAATCCATACAAATCCCTCCCAGGGGTGGCAGAGGATGGTGCCAGACTCTGTTCAGTAACAGGACGAGGAGCAATGGCCACAAACTAAAACACAACAACTTCCACCTCGATGTCAGGAAGAAGCTCTTTCCATGAGAGAGGAAAGAGCAGAGCCCTGGCGTGGCAGAGCCCTGCAACAGCTGCCCAGGGAAGGTGTGGAGTCTCCCTGAGGAGACATCCCAAACCCACCTGGACACGTTCCTGTCACCTCCAGGTGACCCTGCCTGGGCAGGGGGCTGGACTGGATGAGCTCCAGAGGTCCCTTCCAACCCCAGCTGTTTTGGGGTTCTGTGGAAGCCCACACATGTGGTTGACAATACAATTCCTCTCCTTCTCCAGATTGTTTTTTGTAACAATTTTTTGTAACAATTCAGTTACACCTGTACCATCAAGCACACATTTTTCTCTCCATCCCTCTAGAGTACAAACCCTTCAAGTGTGAGGAGTGTGGCAAGGAGTTCACCAAGGGCTACCTGCTGAAGAAGCACCAGGAGGTGCACGTGAACGAGCGGCGGTTCCGCTGCGGGGAGTGTGGGAAGCTCTACAAGACCATAGCCCACGTCAAGGGGCATCGGCGCGTGCACTCGGACGAGCGGCCCTACGCCTGCCCCAAGTGCGGCAAGCGCTACAAGACAAAGGTGGGCCCCCCTCAGAACCTCCACACTGGCCTCCCCAGAGCCAGCCTTTGGCAGAGGGGAGGAGGTTTTGCTCCTCAAAGAGCAAGTGCCAGCTCGCCTGCCTCTTACAGGATGCCCAGAGAAGCTGTGGCTGCTCCGTCCCTGGAAGTGTCCAAGGTTGGACGGGGCTTGGAGCACCCTGGGATAGTGGAAGGTGTTTGCCCATGGAAGAGGGGTGGAACAAGATGTCCCTTGAGGTTCTTTCCAACCTAAACCATTCAGTGAATCTGTGATCTGAAATTCCAGAAAGACATTTTGGTTTAGTGGGCAAAAGGACAGTCTTTGTAAAACCACCCCATTTCTGAAGAAACTGTTCCTTCATAATAATGGTGTCATGGTTCTGGCCAGGACAGGGTTAATTTCTGCAGTGGCCAGAACATTCTGGTGTGAGGGAAAGGGGTTCCTTCTGTCTGTTCTTAAGACAGGTGAATTGCTCAAGTCTTTCATGTACCCTCTGTCATCGGTAGTGTTGTCATCTTACTTCTGTTTCTGGTAAATTGTTCTTGTCCTTGATCTTCACCTTTTGTGCCTCCAATTCTCCTCTCCAGCCCACTGAAAGGGAAGGAGGGGAGCAAGTGTGTGGCTCATGGTTTGGAGAGTCTTGGTGAGAGCACTGCTTTGGGGAGTACCACTTCTAAGCCACCACCCAAGAAAATCATCCTTGTGTCCTACAAAGGACGTTGAGTTCCACCCTGGGAGCTAAAACCCTGCGCCCGTGAGCTGCCCGTGTCCTTTCTGAGCCCTTCCCTTGCCTCCCTGTGTGTGCAGAACGCCCAGCAGGTGCATTTCCGTACCCACCTGGAGGACAAGCCCTACGTGTGCCAGTTCTGCAGCCGGGGTTTCCGGGAGAAGGGCTCCCTGGTGCGCCACATCCGCCACCACACCGGAGAGAAGCCCTTCAAGTGCTACAAGTGCGGGCGCGGCTTCGCCGAGCACGGCACCCTCAACAGGCACCTCAAAACCAAAGGTGAGGCCCTGAGGGGAGCCTGCTCAGGGCTGGGATTTGGGCAGGCTGCCCCTGGGCTGGGTGGGAATGGTGGTGAGGGTGGATCTAATGACCCGTATGGAAGTGGGAATGTTCTGGAAGGGTCGGAGAAAAGCTCTCACCAGTAATCTGGTTTGGTGGGATTAGCTGCACTGGACTGGCTGCTCCTTTAACTCCTAAGCAGGGATTTGCAAACTTCTTCAGCTAGTTCTGATGGTGTTATCCCAAAAGAATAATAGAAGTTTAATGGAGTTAAAAAGGACTTTTGTAGGAGATACTGAGACATATCAACAGAAAAGATCAGTGATTTAAAATGTACCCAAATTCTTCCTGTGTGTTCTTCACACGTGGCTTGGAGCCCTGAGTGGTTTTACCACCTGGATTTACCCATGTGGTGTTTGGAATTGCATTGGAGAGCTGCTCTGCTCCTGGTGTCACATGGGCTCTTCTGGGCTGCTCCTTGGCTGGTCCTGGTGGGCCCAGAGCCCCTCAAGTGACACTGGTCACTCATCCATGGCATCCCCTTGCTGGTGCTGCGTAGCATCTTCTAGCTACTATTAGAATTGGTCACAAAAAATGATGTTTTTCTGGAATTCCATGTAGGTGGCTGCCTCCTTGCTATGAAAGAGGTGGAAGAAGTGGTAGTGTCAGAGGAGAGTCAGTCTGCTGACAACTTGGCAGCCACGGTCCTTTCGGAAGATCCACACACAGTTCTGGTGGAGTTCTCCTCGGTGGTGGCAGACACCCAGGAGTACATCATCGAGGTGAGAGGGGGCAGCCAGCCTGCTCATTGGGAATTTAGCACAAGGTTTGGTCAGGAAAAGTTCTGTGGTTGTTCATGTTCCTGCTCCAGGCTTTTGGGAGAAGGTAAAACACGCTCTGTCCTACCTGCATGGCCCCAGGAGTCAGTGGGATTAGCCTTGTTTGGAAGGAAAGCACTTGGAGCTTCCCCACCCTCCCAAAGTGCTGTGGGTGCCAGGAAAAGGAGAAGGGGAGACCCAACAGTGGTTCAGCAGGAGGCTGAGCCTGAGAACTTCTCACCACTCACAAGCTTGCTTCAGCTTTCCCTCCTATTTTCTCACATTTTTATTTATCTTCCTTTGTCCCAGATAATCTCTGTTGTTTCTAACAGAGGCTGCCAAAAGCAATGAATTCTGTATTTCACTTTCTCCCCTCCGTCACACAGAGCCAGTTCTCATCCCAGCAGGGTAACACTGCTCAATTATTGAGTGCTGCCGTAGTTTTTCTCCAGGAGGAGAAAAATCTGCTGCTTGGCCAGATCCTGCTGAGGGAGGACATTCTCTTTCAGTTGTTTGTGAACATTGTGCATTAATTTTAACTACTTCCTGATAATGGGATTGGGAGGAAATGTCAAGGAGTTATCTTTGGAGTAGCTACTGCATCTGGGGGGGAACAGAAAGAATTGTATAAAAGATCTTAGTGATTTATATCTTGGTGATAAAATTCTTTTTATAAGAAGCTAAAAAGGGAATCGTCTTCCTTTGTCTTTCAGACTTCTACTGAGGACATGGAGACCAGCGAGGCTACTGAAATAATAGAGGGAACAAGGCATGAGGTAAAGCAGGAGGGGTGACACGCTGCAGAGTGTTCCTGGGGTGAACAGCTGGAGCAGCCTGGAAAGCACAGCTCCCCGTGCTGGTCAGGCCCCTCTGCAGCGATGATTGTTAATTCTCCCGGTGAATCAGCGTCACTGCAGCCCCTGTCCCCTCGCAGGTCGACAGCCACATCATGAAGGTGGTGCAGCAGATCGTGAACCAGGCCAACTCCGGCCACCAGATCATCGTGCAGAACGTCACCGTGGCCGAGGGCGCCGCGGCCGCCGACGCCGGCGACACCATCACCATCGCCACGCCCGAGAGCCTCACCGAGCAGGTGGCCATGACCCTGGCCTCGGCCATCGGAGACGGAGCCGTGCTGGCCACCGAGGGCGGGCTGGCCGCGCAGGAGGCCACCGTCACCATGGTGGCGTCCGAGGACATCGAGATCATGGAGCACGCGGGGGAGTTCGTGATCGCCGCCTCGCAGGAGGGCGAGGTGGAGGTGCAGACCGTGATCGTGTGAGGGAGGGGCAGCTGCAAACGGCCCGGCTGCTCCAGGCTGACCTGGCCACTGGGGCTGCTCAGAGAGCCACGGGGAATGTTCTGGAGGGAGGTGGCTTCATGGGACAGGGCAGATCCAAAACAGAACAGGTCAGACCCAGAACAGGGCAGGGCAGACCCAGAACAGGTCAGGGGCAGGGCAGACCCAGAACAGGTCAGACCCAAAACAGGACAAGGCAGACCCAGAACGGGGCAGGACAGACCCAGAACAGAACAGGTCAGACCCAAAACAGGACAGGGCAGGCCTGAGGTGTTCTCAGTCTAAAACCAGTATCATGAGTTAAACCCTGGGCCTGGTCACACTGACAGGTCACAAATGACATTCAGTATTCTGTACAGCAGCCTCAAATTAAGGAAAATCCTTTGGGAATCAGCTCTCTCTGCCCATGGGACAGCAGGGGTCTGGTTTTTAAAAGGATTCAGAAAGTGTAGCAAATATGTGGGGTCTCACAAGGAATTATTTCAATATATGCATTTAAAACAAGTTGAGAAAACCAAACCTAAGGAGTTGTGGTGTCTGTTGAGCACCACTGAAACACTCTCATGCCTTTAACCTCACTCCTTCAGGCCTCCCAAGGCATGGTACTGCAGTATTTCTCTTTCCTTTGATATCCTGGACAAGTAGCCTTATGTACTGGTCTATGAATGCATCATTGTACTCTGCAATGCCAGCCAGGCTGCTCTGAGAGCCAGCCTGGGGGCTGGAAAGCCATATTGTATAGGAATTTGGTTTTTTTAAACCATATGTGGATTTTTAATTGCATATTGTACAGATTCAGCATGTAAATAAATACATTTTTAAAAATAAAATTATTTAAAATTCTTACTATATTTTTTTTTTCCAATTTCTCTTCTATTATACTCAAACAGAAGAATTTCTGGAAGGAGAGGAGAACAGGGACACTTTAATTTCCTTCCTGAAGTTAATGCTCCAAAGCTGCAGTAGGACATGGTTTCTGCAGGTAAGATCCTGCCAGAAGTCAGTTTTTTTAGCTAAATACACACAACCTCTTGTAGTCATTGTAAACAGTCATGGGTTAATTGTTTCCCAGAGAAAGATACAAAAAGATGCTGCTTCCTCAAGATCCACAGGAGCTCTGTGTTAACCCTTCCCAGAGGGGAAGATGGACCAAATCCCTGTAATCAGGGGCCAGGACTGAGGGAGAGAGCTCAAATGATGCTCTGCTGAGGCACCAGGAGATCAAATGATGCTCTGCTGAGGCACCAGGATGTGAATTCTGCATTCCAAAATCTGTCTGGGCACCCGAGCCCCCTGCTGAACTCAAGTCTTAGGAAACATTTAAAGATACCCAGAGAAACAATAATATCTTCATGTTTTCTTTTTCCTTTCCAATACTGTAGGAGGGTTAAAGATTTCCTTTAAATTCCTCCAGATCCCTTTAGAATAAATGTTTTTGTAGACGAGGGGTCTGCCATGAGGCTGCGAGGGGAGATGGGAGGAACCCCCAAATTTTTGGGATTTGCACCATTCATTGGTGGTTTGGTTGGTGAGGGCTAAATACAGACTGAAGGAGCAATATCCCCCCAGGACGAGTGTGAGCAGGATGACGAAGCCCAGCATGAAGACAATCCTAGGGAAAGTCAAGAAAAGGTGCTGCAGAGAGAGAGAGAAAAGTAAGTTAAAATGTGGGAGGGTTGAATCCCACGAGCACTGCACAGCCCCAGCTGGAATGCACATCCATGTGCTGGTGGAGTTATCTGCATCCCAGCTGTGTCCTGCTTTAACAGCTCCACAAAGGAACCTCAGGGACTCTCAGCTGTTCCCTAAACTTCACCACATCAGCTAGTCTTTGGAATGGAAATTCCTTCTCTGTGAACCAGATCTGCCAAGTGGAGACAGGAATCTGTAGGGTGGCAAACGCTGTGAGAAAATTCCCCCATTTTTAAAGTATGTGGCACATTTCAGCAGCTTTCTAAGTGTAAAACAGCTAAAAAGCTGCAGTGTGTCCCAAAGCCCTGCAGTCCCTCCCCACGCTGGGGGAGCAGGACGACATTCCTGCCAGCAAAACACGAGAAAACATTTTACAGCTGACCTGAACGAGGAAGGCGATCTCCACGGGATGCTCCTGCCCCTGGGCATCCAGGTAGGAGCCGTGCATGATGTTGGAGAGCAGCAGCACCTGGATGAGGAGTGCAGCTGTGACAGCAGCCAGGGCTGCAGCGGTGGCCGTCAGGGACAGCAGGTACAGCAGGAACACGCCGGCGTTGGAGGCTCCGATGCAGTTGTTGACCCACACACAGTGGTGGTCAAAGCGGTGCACGCACGTCCTGCAGACACCTCGAGGAGGCAGGGGCAAAACCAGTGTCTCAGCACTTCTTTAAGTCAGCAGTTTGAGCTTTATGTGGGGTTTTTTTAAGCTGAATGTATGTGGGAGTTGCAGTCAGGGTTTAGCTGGCAGCTTTTGAAGCAAATGAATTCAATTGTGTATCCTAAGAAAAACAATGTATTCCATTTCCTCTGTTATTCACCCAGACTGCAGCTCCAAGACTTTGTTTTCTCTCGCAGTAATGCCTGTCAAAGCACCTGAAAGGTAGAGTTTGTAGCTCCCACCTTTATTTTAGATTATAAAAGGAGGATGTGGACTTCTCATCCCTGCCAGGCTGGACAGGGCTCGGAGCACACAGTGGAAGGTGTCCCTGCCCTGGCAGGGGGTGACATGAGATGGGCTCCAAAGATCCCTCCCAGCCCCAACCATTACAGGATTCTGTGACTGTGAAACAGAAAATCCTGACAGGTGATAATTTCTCATTTAAATTCCAGCTGCTCACAAGCTCAGCTGTTCCTGACCCTGAAATATCCCTCAGAACTGGTGATTTCTGTGAGAAGAAAAAGCACCCAAGCAGCTCTGTGGATACAGCTGTGACATGGGACCCCAGGAGAACAAACAGAGCCCTGTGAGCACTGAGCTGATAACAGAACAGCTGCAGTGGGAACTGCAGCTCCTGGGGGAGAATTGCGTTGGGAAGGTCTTACTGCCATGGTTATCAAGGAATTTCAGATCCTTACTGCAGTGCTTGGACCTGGCTGGCTTCTCCACGGAGCACGTGGGACACACGAGGCCTCTCTGAAACAACACCCCATCATAGGCATAAACCCCCACCAGGGATGCAGCATTGGATTTTGTCACTGTACCTGCAAAAAGAGACAATAAAAAGAATTAAAAAATGGGATTTGTAGCCTTTTTTTCCTCTTTTCAAAGGGCACGAGCATGATCTCACCAGGATTGGCCCGGGAGCAGAGCATGAAGCAGCCCAGGTTCCCAGCCAGCAGCAGGTAGGGCAGGAGCAGGGGCAGGAGGTGGAACTGCAGCTCCCTGCAGTACACAAACACTTCCCAGGTGTATTCCCCAAACACTGCAGCCTGCAGGGCTACGTGCAGGACCACAAACAAACAGCTCCTGGAGAGGAAAGGGGACAGTGTTTAATACTCAGCATCCTGATTAACGGGTCAAGTACACTCAGAGGTGATCAAAGACTTTCCAAATGCAAGGAGACACCTCTTTTAGGTTTTCAGGCCAGCTTGGATTGCATATTAATAGTGTTTTCTCCATCCACTGGCTTCTCCTTCTCTTCTTCCCACATATACTCCTTTAAATATGTCAGCTCAATTCCCTGCTTTATTCACATGTCCTTTGGAATTTTTTTTTCCCCTGTCAGTACAAAGTCTTATAATCACTTGCTGCTGACAAAATATGCCACAGCAACAGGCCACAAAACATTCTGCCAGAAGACATTTGCTATTCTGAAAGCAAAGAAGAAATCCCCCAAAATAATCCTAAGAACTCTGCAATAATATAACCAGCTGTTGGGAAATGAGGGTGGCAGGAGGTGGGCGGTGGTGAGCACCAGTTCCAGAGCATGTGGAGAATGCCAGTGTCCCCAGCAGCTCTGACAGTGTCACCTCTGTGTCTCAGGCTGTGCCAGAGCAGAGGATCAGCAGAACGAGCACAAAACCACCCCAGCACTCACAACACAGCTGCAGATTTACAGCCCTGAAGTCGCTGCCACACCGAGCTGCTGTCCCCAGAGAAAAGGTATTTAAATCATTCCTGAGGCACCAGAGTTTACAGACACACAAAATCCACCTGGATCCAGCAGGCTGCATGCTGGCAGCTGTGCAGCTTCCCCCTCAGCCACCTGCATGTCCAGGCTGCTGGACTGAGACTAATGGGATTTGAGGGAGGGGATGGAGACTGAGAGTCTGTCTGACTCCATCTGCAGCTGCCAGAGAGGCTCTGGTGATTCCTGTGGGGATGCAGGATCCCACCAGTGTCACCAACATCTGTTACTGAGCCACATTATCTTCATTTGTCAATATGTTCAAACATTTCAGGCTACCACCCTCTAAACAAGGACCGAGGAAGGGAGAGACAGCAGCCTGGCAAACCTCAAAGGGAATCTGTCATCCCTGACAGGCGTCCCAAACACACACAGAACATCTGAGGGTGATACTGAGAGCTCTGCTGGTGGCAGGAGATCCCACCAGCAACCAGAAATAGGATAAAGAACAATGCCAAAGGTATAAAAGTGCAGTACCTTGTGTGGAAGAGCCTGTGCAGTGCCCGGTGTGTCACCCTCTGGAGCTGGCTGGGGATCACCAGTGACAGCACCTGAGGGAAATGAAGCTCTGTGTTACCTGGCCATCACTGCTGCCATGGGGCAAGCTCAGGTTTAATCACAAGTCCCTCATCCCTCAGTTCTGGACCTGCACAGCGCCAGGGGGAGGCTCCTTTTCAGGGGCATCTGAGCTTCTCACCACAGAATCAAAGCTGCGAGAGACCTTCAAGATCATAAAGTCCAACAGAATCACAGAATCCTGGAATCACCAAGCTTGGACAAGCCCTTCAGGTTCCTCGAGTCCCAGCTGTGCCCAATGGCCACCTTGTCCCCAGCCCAGAGCCCTGAGTGCCACGTCCAGCCCTTCCTTGGGCACCTCCAGGGATGGGCACTGCAGAGCTCCCTGGGCACCTCCTGAGTGCCCTTTCCATGGGGAAAGAGCAGAGGCAGGAATGCTGCTGGCGTTTCCCACATGAGGTTCCCACATTCCTGGGAGCCCCCCAGGCCCAAACAAACATATCTGGGTTAATGTGTGAAAGCTGTAAGGAGCTTAGGGTGGGTGTAGGGTGGGGATGGGTTAAGCAGGGGATAGAACTGAGCAATTCCCCAGCTACAATATGCTCCATCAGCCCATCTGACAGATCCAGGGGAGATAAGCAAAGGGATAAAGCCTGTGGCATCCAGAAAAGAGAGAGAAGAATATCCACGAGCCATCCAACCCCCCAAAAATGCAGTTTCTGCAAGTACAGCTGTGATCCAGGCCGATGGCTCCATGTCTGATTGCCCTCCCAGGCACGGCTGGACGTGCTGGAGAAGGAAGCTGCTCACTGAGTGAATCCACTGAGTGAATCCCTGGGGCAGGGCTGTGCCTGGGGAGCTGTGTGCTCGCTGCTGACAGATCTCTATAGCAACACAGAGCAGGAATTAGAGCGGCTCAGCCTATTTCTAGCTGACAGGGAAGGAAAATATGCAGCGAGAGAGAGATGTGAAAGACCAGGAGGCAAAAAGCATATGTGGAGCTGAGAAGATGCTAAATATTTTGGTGTGAGCTGGTACATCTCGGCTCGGCAGCTTGGGGGATGAGTGTTTGTAAAAAGAAGATTTTTTCAAGTGTGCTGTAAGAGGAAACACAGCCCAGCAGGAAAGAACGTGCAGGAAACCTCAACCCTTGAAATGCCAAGTGCCCTCAGCTGCTCCTCCACGGCCCCTCCAGGCCCTTCACCACCCTGGTGTCCATCCTTTGGATGCTCTCTAAGAGCTTCAGACCCTTCTGATATTCTGGGGTTTGTATTGTATTGCTCCTTATAATAATTTATCTTGTACTCTGACCTTACATTTAGCATTACCTGTATTTATAGCCCAGGTAAAATATTGATTATATTCACATGTATTTATTTCCAGGCACAGGTATTGATTTGATTCCTCCAGACACTGGCTTCATACCTCAGCAGTAATTTAATTGCTGCTGTTTAAACACTTCATAGCAGCAGCTATTAAGATATGGGGGGAGAAAAAATCAATTTCTCTGCACTGTGTGTCTATAAACCAAAAGGAAGCATAATACCAGTAATAAAAAAAAGTCTGTCTGAACTCCTGTGAACAACATTAAATATAATTTACAATTTAAGTGATAATTCTCTCATCCTTTTCCTTCAAGGAATATTACAGGTTTTTTTTTTTGTTTTTTATTTGTTCAGACACAGCCCAACAGACAGAAAAATGAACTGGTGCTTTTCCAATCCCCCATTTTTACAATAAAATGCCAATTCTTAATCCTCTTGTAAAGCTCTTCATTCCTGCCTCTTTCTTAGTGAACAAGAGCCTGCAGCATTAACACACACATTAAAGAGCTTCCCCTGAAATATCTGCCACCACTTACAATTTTCTCCCTATTTTAATCCTCAAACCTCCCCCACCTTCTCCCTCTCAATGACAGCAGCCAGTACCACTAAACTGCCAATTCCTGGGGTCTGATTCTTATTTAATTTCTCAGAGTTGTGTTGTGGTGTTACTGAAGGTGAGAAGGCTCCATCCTCACCCCAGACAGGCACAGGCAGGGACGGGAGCTGGGAGACCCAAAATGATTTTTATTACCTGTTTAGGCAGGATTAATAATTTCAGAGGAAGTGAATTTCTATTTCCTATCCCGCTTCCTTGAGAGCAGACATGAAAACAGGACGGAATATTTTATATTATCACTCTGACCACACACACAGGCTGCTTTTTTCTTTTTTTTTTTTTTGGAGAACAAATATAGCAGCTGCACTACTTTTAGCACAACAAAGCAGGGCAGATTACCAGAACGGGAGATGCTCATTCCCCTGCAGGTTCATTCTGTACCTGGAAGCCCAGTGCTTTACCTGGCTTGCCCTGCTGACACTCCTTGTGAGGAAACTCTCCTTCCTTCCCGAGCAGAGGCAGAGCAGGGCAGTGGTGGCCAGCACAAAGCACAGGTAAATCAGGAAGAGCGTCAGGAAGTCCATCCCGAGCCTGGAATGGGACAGGAGCAGCTGTTGGACCCAGGCTGGCATTCCCTGAGCTCGGGGATGGAGCAGCCCCAGCGCAGGCAGGGCCCCGGGCCAAGGCAGAAACACAGAACCCCAAAATCCTTTAGGCTGGAAAAACTTCCCAGCCCATCGTGCCCGATGCCCACCTTGCCCCCAGCCCGGATCCCTGAGAGCCACATCCAGACACTCCTTGGGCACCTCCCTGGGCACTGCAACCCTCCCTGGGCACTGCAAACCTCCCTGGGCACTGCAACCCTCCCTGGGCACTGCAAACCCCCCTGGGCACTGCAAACCTCCCTGGGCACTGCAACCCTCCCTGGGCTCTACAACCCTCCCTGGGCACTGCAAACCCCCCTGGGCACTGCAACCCTCCCTGGGCACTGCAACCCTCCCTGGGCTCTACAACCCTCCCTGGGCTCTACAACCCTCCCTGGGCACTGCAACCCTCCCTGGGCTCTACAACCCTCCCTGGGCACTGCAAACCCCCCTGGGCACTGCAAACCTCCC